TACAAGTCGTATAGCATGTACATTAAAAAGAAAATAAATATAAATTTTGTATTGGAAAAAACAAATAAGTAAAATTGTAAATGACAAAGCAATTAATTTAAAGGGAAAATACAACATAATTTGCAAACATCAAAAAATAAAAATACCAAATCATTTTGAAATACCTTGCTGGACTGTTAGTGAATGACAGTGTAAAGCATCCTGTAAAATCGTGGCACCTGGTATACTGTCATTTTCAAGAAAAGTGGTATTTTTGTATCAATTTCCAACGCTGGTCGGCCGACCAGCGTTGGAAAAAACTGGCTTTTTTTTAAAACTCAGTGAAGAATTTTATTATGCCCATGCAAAAGAAAAAAAACCCATAAAAGCCATTTTATGATGAAATTAGCATATGTTGCATAAACTCCGACGACGTTAGAGGCTCCGTCAAGTCTACCGTTTTCATAAATTCAGTGCAGAATTTTATTATACCCATGCAAAAGACCAACAAAAAAAACAACTGGCTTTTGAAAAAACTGGCTTTTTTTTTAAACTCAGTGCAGAATTTTATTATGCCCATGCAAAAGAAAAAAAAACCCATAAAAGCCATTTTATGATGAAATTAGCATATGTTGCATAAACTCCGACGACGTTAGAGGCTCCGTCAAGTCTACCGTTTTCATAAATTCAGTGCAGAATTTTATTATACCCATGCAAAAGACCAACAAAAAAAACAAAATAAAAGCCATTTTATCTTAATATCGTAACCTTAGTGCAGAATTTTATTATACCCATGCAAAACCACCAAATCCCCCCCCCATAAAGGCCTTTTATCTTAAAATTAGCATAATTATGTTTCATAAACTTTAACGATGTGAGACGCTCTGTCAATTCTACCAATGTCGTAACCTTAGTGCAGAATTTTATTATGCCCATGCAAAAGACAAAAAACAAAACAGCCATTTTATTTTAAGATTAGCATGATTCTGTTGCATAAACTCCAACGACGTTAGAGGCTTCGTTAACTCTACCAATAGTCCCAGCTGGTTGTATGCTTGAGTAGCCATCCATGCCTGATAGGCCTACAAGTCTTGTCCAGGTAGCAACCAGTTCAACTGCAGGTTGTGTGATTTTCTTTGTGAAAAACACAGGGTAATGGGTGCAGGGTAAAGGGAGGGGTAATGTGCAGTTCAATTATGATTAAGTCACTGTAAACACAAGAAAATATGCCAGCCCGACCACTCTGCGTTTGTAACTCAACAAACGCGAACCTCTAGTTTTTCTTGGTTTTTATAGCATTTTCGAACCCAAAACCTCAAAAAAGTCAGTGTAACTATATTTGCTATATATTTCCAACTCCCCAATTCCATCCATTTCTGAAAATTACAGCAAAAGCAAATGATGTATATTCCCTTTAAGCCATAATAAGCCTAAGCTTGTCAATGGCAGGTGCTAAAAGCATACTGTGAACACTCAAAAGCAATTACATGAAACAAAAACATTCATTATTATCTTCAAGTAAACTTGAAACCTCGATCCTGATTGGTCGATCCATGGCAACAAGCCATGCTACATATAACCATGTAGCACGGCCACGGTCCATACCGCACTCTGCGTTTTGCGCTATTCCGAGATGCGCGCGCCATTCCGTACAAACCACGCACGTGTAATAGGGTAATCAATTTGTGTACAGCGTGCGTTTCATCTTTTATTGTGCATCAAGTTTGCTTGAAGATAAGTTCGTTATCACGCTAGCGCTCGTGGAACACGGAAAATGTAGTGTGTCTGTGTCCCACATACCACTCGGCCTTCGGCCTCGTGGTATGTGGGACACAGGCCTCGTGGTATGTGGGACCATGGAGGAATAAGAACTTCTTATTCCTCCATGGTGGGACACAGATGCACTACATTATTCCGTGTTCCACACGCGCTCGCGGGATAACTTATAGTAGAACAATCGAAAACTCGTCATAGTCATAGTTCGTTCGTGTAACTCGTTCCTGGAGGTATCACACAGGAATGTCAATTCTCAGCCAAGGTCGATCAAGCCAGCAGGTCCCTTGGGAGGGCTGAAACTGTGAGGACAGTTTACAAAAGGCCTCCTGTTTTGAAAAGACAGTGTATCTGGCACAATACAAAGATTGTCTTTGGTTTTCACTGTTTAAGATCATATGAACCCATCCCTATGCCCCACTTATCATGATTATTGTATAGATGAGACCAGTTCTCAGTTCCCCTTGACTTAACTGATCCGACCTATTTACTGGCTGTGAGCTTTAACATGTTTGTTAGCTTCTCAGTTCTGAAATTTATCCAGAGCTTACTTAAATTGACCAACCGTCTCTACAGAATATATTTTAGGTCTTGCTGTTCTTACTGACAAACATTTACAGGTAAAATGTCAGGGTCTGCATTTGCATACATAATTGAACTTCAGGGGTTGAGTGAGATACTAACCCCTCTCTCTCCTTGGCATTTTCTCGATCTCAGGGGTATGTGGGACAGTTGTCCAAATAAATAAACCTCCAAGAATGTCCCAAGCCCTGGTTGTTTACGGAGGAAACCCTAGTAATCAGATAAGTCCTGATTGAGCGAACGCAGCTCAGCGCTGGATGAAAAGGTTTCCCATGTGCAGTTGTTCGGTTTGGGGGTCGGTACATTCATGACCCTTAACACATGTCTGTGCCAGCTCTGGGTGACGATACAATGTTGTACATGCCAATAGTTGCACAATTGGTAGCATAGTAATGCGGATGCATACATGTTGGGAGCACCTTTCTTCTTGATTGCCCTAGGTAATGTACAAAACTTCTGATCATTGAACGTATGTGTGTGGCGTAAAATCCCTCATTGTTCAGCGTGTGTTTTTGATTTGTCATGGCAGTCATAGGATGGAAAGTTAACATACTTCAGTATTTTCTGATAGCACAGTGTTGAGTATTAGCAGAATCATAGTCGGAAAACTAGTAAAACAACTTTAGACATTGTACCTATGTAGGTAGTTCTGACGTCCGTGATAAATGTGCTGTATTTTATCTCGTAAGTTTGTTTAGAGTGTGGTACATGTACGTTTGGATGAGCTTGGTCGTGACAAAAGAAGTACGTTGACATTTCCAGCGGGCCTTGTCAAGTTTGGTCGTTATATTTGATGAATGGTTTCTCTGGTTCAGTGCTCAGTGATTGTCAAAGAACATTTTGCTAGTTCAGTTTCGTTTGGTTATGTTGTTTACTTAAAAATCGCACTGCTCAGTGAGACTGTACTGAATGGCTGCATGATCTGAATTGTGCAAGCCTTTTGGGGCTTTGGAAAAAAACTGAGTTTTCATCGTGATAAGTATGATATAAATGTGTAGAACTTCATCATGTCTGGTTGAACTAGTTATTTATATAAAAGACTAGGACCACTGTGGATTGAAATTCTACTTAATGTCTTTGGAGAATTAAAGGTAATATACAACATTTGCTTTTGCTATAATTTTCAGAAATGGATGGATTGGTGGTTAGTATTTTATAGCAAATATTGTTACACTTACCTGTTTAAAGTTCTGTGTTCATGGATGCTGAAAAAAAATTGCTGTTCTTGTAGTGTGGTTCCCCGACCCTACCTCAGACGAAACGGAACAATTTATAGACATCGGGGAATTGTCAGGTCAGGGAACCAGACGTGCTGGCTTGCAAATTTGGTAAATTGGGGGCAGTATTTGAAAAAAAAACCCGTCATTTTTTTCCCCAATGACAGTCGGCCGACCATCGTTGGAAATGGATACAAAATTCCACTTTTATTGAAAATGACAGCACACCAGGTGCCATGATTTCACAGGATGCTTGTGACTATCATTCACTTACAGTCAAGTAAGGTATTTCAAAACAATTTAGCAGTTTTGATGTTTGCAGATGTTGTATATTCCTTAGATTGGATCAAATTATTATAGTACGGTATTAAACCCTCTCTTTCCAAGATCCTTCAAAGTCCAAATTCTACCACGATTTGGAGGATTTTGTGGGATGCATGTGGTTTATAATGGGACTTGATGACTTTTGAAAGTTGCAATACAAAGAAAGTGTCATTGCATAGTGGTTTGTTTTGGATCATCATCATTCAGGAAACTTAGTGATACTCACAGCAAAAATACTTTAGTAAATTAGTAAATTTATTGTAACTTTTCTGTCATTTTTTTTGTCTATAGTTTCACAGTCGATGGCACTGTGACTGCATCATAACTATGCACTGAAACATTTGTCCCAGGTTTTTTTGAAGAGTCAAATTTGATTTGTAACAAGCAAGTGTGTAACAACCAATTGGGATGTATGCAACATTGTGATTGGAGGGTTTCCCTGGGGTCAACCTGGAGGTCAACGCTCAGGTACCGGTAGGTCAAAGTCTGCCAACTTGAGAACTACGTAGGCCAATGACATAGTCTAAAGTGGTCTGATTGTCAACCCAGACTTTATAGGCCCTTCGATTTTTTTGATTTGTACAATTCAGGTCAATCCAGTCAGTCAGCAGTTTGTAGCAGTCTTATTCATTTTCACTTCTTGTTAAAATTGTGCCAAAGTGTAATTTTATTCAGGTCTGTGGTGTGGAGGAACTACATTATATTTGTGTTTTGTCAATATTTTCAAATTAAGGTTTGTTTTTCTTTCCTCTCCATTTTCTGAAGCCTTCAAGTGCTTTTGCAGATTATCCTGGAGATTTCTGTTAAGAAAAAGATTGTTAAAAATAATAACCTTCAAATTTCAATAGCTTGGTATTATAAGGATGCCCATTATAGGTGCTTCATTTGGTGTCATAGTGCCGGACGTCTTGAGCAGAGTGCTCCAGATCAATTTCATTATAATTTCAGGATTGATCAATTTTTTCTTTTGGTGTTTCCCAAGGTATCATCACTTGTAGACCCTCCCACTGCTAGTTTCAGAGTTCCTGTCGACACTCACAAGCTACAACTCACAAGGTCAGAGTATTTGCACAGGCATCAGCCTCAGTGATCAACACAGAAAAACTCACACACCACAGTCTAAAGATGGAGGTGGAATCGGGACGGGATGAGTACACACTGCAGCCGTACGAGCACCGCAGGATGAGGAGAGTCCTGGCCTGGGTCAGGCAGAACCTTCTCCTTCTCTTCACCTTAGTAGGAGTCATCATGGGCATCGTACTGGGCCTGGTCCTGCGTCTAGCCGAACCCTCTGAGGATGCCATACTACTGATTGGTTTCCCCGGAGATATCTTGATGAGGCTTCTAAAGATGCTCATCCTGCCGCTAATTGTGGCCAGTCTCATCTCAGGTTAGTCCAACTCTCCCCCCCCCCCCGAATTATTTCCTTTCCCCGCCCACTTTTGGACACTGAGACGCATGCACTGTGCCCATCAACTTTCAAAAACATTTGGTTAGCATCGTTCCCATCTTATATTTCCTTCTCCAGTATTGTAGTTGAGGTACTTCACAAGTCCATCACAAGTCAATCACAAGTCAATCACAAATCATCACAAGTCATCACAAGCCATAACAAGTATCACAAGTCAATTACAACTCATCACAAGTCAATCACAAATCCCCACAAGTCAATCACAAGTCACCATGTCAATCACAAGTCATCATGAGTCATCACAAGTCATCACAAATAGATCACATGTCATCACAAATCATCACAAGTCGTCACAAGTCATCACAAGTAAATCACAAGTCCATCACAAGTCCATCACAAGTCATCACAAGATATCACAAGTCATCACAAGTCATCACAAGTCGTCACAAGTCATCACAAGTCATCACAAATCATCACAAGTCATCACAAGTCCATCACAAGTCATCACAAGTTGTCACAAGTTGTCACAAGTCATCACAAGTCATCACAAGTCATCACAAGTCATCACAAGTCATAACAAGTCATCACAAGTCCTAAGTCCATCACAAATCCTAACAAGTCAATCACAAGTCCATCACAAGTCATCCATTCCCAATTCAAGTCACAAGCTATGCAAAGGAACCTTTTCCAAAATGTGCAACCAACTTTTCCTGCTTTAGCATCTGTTGCATTTGTTATTCCCTTTGGTAGGTCTTACCGGCTTGGACACAAAGGAAAGTGGGAAGCTTGGTCTTCGTGCTCTGGTCTACTACTCAGTGACGACGTGCATCGCTGTCATCATTGGAATCATCTTGGTGCTGAGTATACATCCTGGAAAGGCCGAGACCAAGGCTTCACTGGGACAGTTTGGGAAAAAGCAGGACATGACCACAATGGATGCCATTTTAGATCTACTCAGGTCAGTGAAATAAACAAAAAAATCAACATTTTGCTCTCCGAAACATTGAGTTTCTACCGGTTCTTTTCAGAACCGCACTCACAAAAAGAGATTTCTTGTCACACGGTTCAACTGCAAACTTACAATTTTTGTTGGCTGACTTTACTTTACAAACCTTCAAGTCAAAACTTCCTACATTGAGAGTTATAAACAATTTTGGTAATTTGTTTTACCCTTATAGGAACCTTGAAAGTAAGGCTGTCTAGATATATCTCTCTGCAAAACACAATTCATTTAGAAGTATTGATAGTGGAACTTGCCGGCGAACAAGTAAGCAGGAAGACGTGGGTTGAAGTCTAACCCTGAGCAAGTTTGTGAATTTTATTCCAAAGCCGACTCATTTGACTAACCTATCTTGTGGTCTTGAAATTGAAATTGCAACGTGACTCGTGATGTGGTTACAACTCTAGTTACTCCGTTTCCTGTTTTTCTTTTGCCCTCAGAAACATGATGCCTGTCAACCTGGTGCAAGCATGCTTCGAACAAGTCAGTAAATAACCTGTTATGTACTGGTAATTTAAAGGGAAATTACAACATTTGCAAACATCAAAAAATAAAACTACCAAATCATTTTGAAATACCTTGCTGGCTGTTAGTGAATGACAGTGTAAAGCATCCTGTAAAATCATGGCACCTGGTATACTGTCATTTTCAAGAAAAGTGGTATTTTTGTATCAATTTCCAACGCTGATCGGCCGATCAGCGTTGGAAAAAACTGGCTTTTTTTCAAATACTGGCCCCTATTGGCCATCGCACTTGTTTGCAATCGATTACACACCTATGAACGGGTACAAGCCAGCTAGACTGGTCCCCTGACCTTACATTTCCCCAATATATGTAAACTGCTCTGTTTCTTCTTAAATGGAGTCAGGGAACCAGACTACAGGAAAATGATTGTTTTTCTTGGTTTTTATAGCATTTTTGAACCCAAAACCTCAAAAAAGTCAGTGTAACTATATTTGCTATATATTGCCAACCCCCCAATTCCATCCATTTCTGAAAATTACAGCAAAAGCAAATGATGTATATTCCCTTTAAAGAAATTTGTGAGTTTGAGGCCATGCAAAAATGGACTAAGATAAGAATCCAAATCCTGGCCACATGGCACAAATGGGCTTATGGCTTCTCACAAGATCCCCCAGAACAAAAACATTGACAAGTTGGCAAACCAAAGATTATACGGCTTATGATTTTTTTTCAGTTTGTGGGATATTTGTTTCGTAATCCAAAAGCAGTGAGTTTGATTTGTGGTTTTATTCAATTTTTGATTGAGTCACAAATTTACAAATACAGAGCCGTTAAATGTGAAGCAGCATTTACTAAGTCAAATGAACAATTCTACCTGTTTGTGTTCACAGTCAACAACAATGTATGTGATGGAGGAGCAGTTCGAAAACATTTTAGTCAACAAGACCATGAACGACACCATGGCTTCTCTGAATGACACCATGGGTCTGATGAACGACACCGGCGACACGGTCACCACGGATCCCATGAACACCATGGAAATGATGATCACCGATAACCCCGTCACCTCTGCCAAGTATGAGACTATCAGCCTGGGGTTTAAGAAGGTGCGCAAGATTGGCTACAAGGACGGAATGAATGTACTGGGTAAGAGCCAAGCTTCTTGTGTCTGAACTATGGACCAATCTGGGCTGGCTGTCAAGTCTATCACAGTGGCCCCCATCAATGGCGCAAGCATTGTGCTAGCTATTGTTCAGATAATCCATCACGGGGCAGTTGCTGTGTACAAAAGCGTGTTCAGTAGATTCTTCACCAAACGGGGATCGTGAGTGTACATGCAGTGATCAGGTGCCGGGATTCATTTATAGAGGGCGGCATCTACAATCCTGGCCAAAGCTCCCTGGGCCACCCTCCCCTGGCCCCCAGTCACTGTTGTCTCTCATTGCGCAGTCTGTGGTGCAGGCTAACATTGACCAGGGGACCAGGGACCGGGGTAGGGTATGGTTGTTGTCACGTGTCCCAACCATTTTGGCCGGGATAGTAGCCTAACAAGAAGGAGGGTATGGAGACTGTGCACAAGTTTGAAAGATTCTTGAATGTCATTACTGTCCAGCAACCATGGGCAGTAACACTACTGGCTTGTGCACATTGACCTGCTTTAGTCAACTTCTTTGTTCAACTTTGAAATTAAATTTGATTTGGTTTACAATATTTTGTCCTTGTCAAGGCATTGTTACATTCTGCATTGCGTTTGGCTTGCTCCTGAGCCGTATGGGAGAGAAAGGACGTGTCATGGTCGACTTCTTTGACATCTTGGCTGAACTTACCATGACGCTGGTCAACCTTATCATGTGGTAAGCTTACTGAAACCCCCCCCCCCCCCACCGTCCCCTTTCCGACTCTTCTGAAAATAGTTCTGTCAGGCCCCAAAGAGATTTAGGTGATGGAAGCTTGGCTCTTTGAGTATTTGACACCTCCCACTCTCCCAAAGATTCAATTCCAGACACATTGAAGCATATTTCATGTGGAAAAATGAACCCTTTAGTCACTATAGTGTCCAAAACCACCCTGCCCATTATACTTTCTGTAGCGCACAAAACCACCCTGCCTATTACTCACTGTAGCGCCCGAAACCGCCGTGCGTATCTTCTCAAATACACTCACAAAAGTTTTGTTGTAGTCGGAAGGAGTCCCTGTAAACTTTCTCTTATTACTGACCTCATGATGCGACCTTCTAAACCTCTTATTGTTTTCTTGCATCAGCCTTTTCTCTGTATTTTTTTACATTGCGTTACCTGGGGTATGCCCAACAGTTTAAAACTGGTTTCCAGTTTAAAACTAGTTTCCATTGGGGGCCTGCTAAGACTCATACCAGGGGTTCTAGTCACGAATGGTCTTCAGTGGGATAAAGAGTGATAACATACAGTTAACTCCGGCTAAGTTGGCACTCTCGGGACCCGAGAATTTGTGACGACTTACGCGAATGCCGACATCTGCCGTAAGTCGTCATTTTGCCAACTTACATGAATGGCCTTTTTGCAACTTGAGCGAAATGGCGACTTATAAAAGCCGACTTAGAAATAAAAAATTCAGTGGAAATGCATTACAGACAATCAGGATTTAGTCAGACGGCCGACTTGAGCGATTTGACGAGCTGTACGATGTCGGCTTGGCCGGAGTTTACTGTATTTGTTACATTTCTTTCTCTCCTCCCCAACCCCATCCCAATTCCCTAGGTATTCTCCCATCGGCATCATGAGTCTGATCTGTGCCAAGATCCTGAGCATGAAGAGACCCGAGTTAGTCTTCGTCCAGCTGGGCATGTACATGGTGACGGTCATCGTTGGTCTCATCATCCACTTCGGATGTCTCATGGGTATCTACTTTGCCATCACTCGCAAGAATCCATTTTTGTTCTTCAAGAACATGCTGCAGGCCTGGCTCATGGCAATCGCCACTTCCTCCAGGTCAGACAACTTTGAGTTGCATTTTCAGGAAAATTTACAAAACGTGTCTTACGTTCGCATGGGGTTTTACCATTATTTTTATGCTGTGATACTTTTTCCTCGGCTATATCTTTTGCATACCTACATTGAAACTAATAAGGCACACACACCCTCAGATCCCACAATTTGAAAATACAAAGCAGTTCACCAAAAAAGTTTGGTACTGATGAAATTGAGTGCCTTCTTGATTTCAGTGCTGCTACCCTTCCCGTCACCTTCCGTTGTCTGGAAGAGAATAACAAGATTGACCGACGAGTGACGCGCTTCGTGGTACCCATCGGCGCTACAGTCAACATGGATGGCACGGCATTGTATGAAGCAGTGGCAGTTATCTTCATTGCCCAAATGAATGGAATCCCTCTCAGTGTTGGACAAGTCATCACTATCAGGTACTATCACTAACAACTCCCAAATCTCTCCACAAATTGTGTTGACTCCGTAAACAAATACGCCCTCGATGGTTACAAAGAGAGAGTTGGGGAAGACACACTGGAACGGACGTTTGAATGCATTACCCGACTTGTTTGACGCTCAAGCGAAGACGCATCTGGTTTGTGCACAATTGTGTCTTGTAGAACGGCCTGGTCCAATGGTTACGCTGTTCGAATCGTGTGCCGTGGTACATTAGGTTTGAACCCTGATGGGGAACATTGCGCTTGTGTTCTTGGGCAAGACACCTTACTACAATTACCTCTCTCCACCCAGGAGTATAAATGGGTACCCATGAAGGTAGAGAACAGAATGCGCTGATCTCAAGCTGCTGCAGAAAACTGGTCTCATGGCATGATGAACGGGGGTAACAATTGTATTATTTTGGGCCAAACTCCGGCGAACCAGTATGCGCACCTGGTTTGCCCAACTGTAGCTTGGAGTTCATACCCAATATTAGATGAATTGGAATGGTAGAGCTGGCTCCATAAACGTTTATTTTAACCAGGGTAAGAACTGTTCTTTGGGGAGCCTGGATAGAAATGTGGATTGTTAAGTTGAGGCTCATGTCTGTTTCACTCCTTTATTTGATAGCTTGACCGCCACACTTGCAAGCATTGGAGCTGCTAGTATCCCCAGCGCTGGTGTAGTCACAATGCTGTTGGTTCTGACTGCCGCTGGCTTGCCAACTAATGATGTCAGCATCATTCTCTTAGTGGACTGGTTCTTGTAAGTAGTCAGATCAAAACCCATCTTCCTTCTCCTCAACATTCTCCTGATGATGATCAGAGCAAACCGACCAAAACCTGCAATGTAAGAAAGGGAGAGTTGGGGAAGACCACTGGGAGAGACATCCGAATGCATTGCACACTACGCCTGACACTCACGCAAAGAATAAAATATGATGTGCATATAGCGAACCAGTACAAGTTGTTTCAACCACTTGTTTCAATCTTTGTTGATTACTTGTCCAATTCCAGGGATCGCCTGCGTACCTCTGTTAACGTCCTGGGCGACTCCTACGGGGCAGGCATCGTCTACCACCTCTCCAAGAAGGAACTGGAAGCCCAAGACGCGGCCTTGGCTGCCCAAGAAGCAGCAGAGTACGCCGACGCAAACCATCACAGCAAGATGGATACCTCCAATCGCAACTCTATGGAGGTCGTGGATCGGGAACAACACAAGAAGATGGACGGCGATACAGCGAGAGAGACCAACTTCTAAACAAGTTGTCCTCCAATGGACCGATTCATTAATATTCCCTACTTCCCCAACCCTTCTTTTTCCAACTTGTACACACACAAAAAACAATCATAAAAGTCTGTCTGTGGTTTTCTGGGCAAATGAAGAGATAAGGTAGTCTTGGCCATTTGTGAAAGCTTGGCTTGTCTCCAGCTGTGGCAATGCTTTTTAAAAGGCTCCATCTCAAAGTAGGTCCGTTGTTTCCCCTCGACAGGAACATCAAGTGGTACACTACGAAGCAGTTTCAATTTGTTCACCACCTAAAGCCTACACATGGTTCCAGAGCCATAAACAGATCCAAAGTTGCAGACGAAGTCAAGGTTTTAGAAATGGCCCTTGTAATAACCTGTATTCCATTGTCTTTGTATTGTGTGTTCCTTTTAGGGCATTTGTATGTCAATTTCTATGGCGGCCATTGTACATGTGCTAGATTATGGACCACTGTACCCGAGTTTGCAAGACCAGCGTTTCCTGCCTACAGCATGTGTCCAGTATACACAGAAATACCCAGATTTCTCCTTCATTCCAAATGTGGAGATATGGATTCTAATTTGGTAAAAAAGAAACGCACTCTGTACCCCACGTGTGGTGTAATTTGGTGTGCCATTCCCTTACTGGAAAGTTTGAATACATAACCTGTCTGAGTTGTATGTAAAAAAAAAACACCAAAAAACAAAACAGCGCAATTCAAAATGGAACCCCAACCTATCCCTAAGAAATTTGTGCTTGTGATTAAAAAAAGATAGACTTGATGTTTCCTTCCCTAATAAGTAAGACAGGGTGTGCTTGAATGTGTCGATGTTTTTGTATTCAAAACTTTTGTCACCTTTTCTAAGAAAAAAAATAACAATGCACCGCACCATTTTATTTCAATTTTGTCATTTTTTTTACCTGATTAGAACTGTTTTGTCAGATATGGAACTGTCTTCAAGTAGACGTAAAGTCGACCTTGATCATTGAAAAGTGTGCGTCCGTGAGTCAGAAATGTTCCTTTTAGTGTAAAATTGTATATTTAGGAATGATTGAGAGTTGGAGGATTGTCAACTATAGTTTTTCAAGAGTAGCTTTTGTTCTTAGTAGTATTTTCGTTTGGAATAATCATGTTAATCATCACAACTTTGTTTGTTTACATCATCTCTTGCTAACTTTGTAGTGTATTGCTGGTATACTAAGCTCATTTGTACCGAGCTCTTTTTGTACATTGGACTGTTTCGTATGATTTAGATATATAACTCTGATCAGTTAGTGAATTGTGATTAAGATTTAAAAGTAATGTTTACATTTTTAGTCTGGTTAAACGACCAATATCTAAACAAACTCATAGCAATAATGACGTGAATATAAAGAGTGTGGTGAAATGTCGAAAACCTGTAGATAGGTGTTGAATTTGTGGACATGAGAATTGTACTCCAAAAAAAAAAAAAAGTAACCAAGATCCAAACGTATTCTTCCGCAACCTTTGTGTACCAAAACTGATATTGTATTTGATATTGTAATTTACCAGTATAAATAAAATTGCAGTTTGTGTGGGTATATTTTGGCTCTAGAACCAATTGAGGACTCGTGCTAGGCCGTTGCATGTTCACAACCTGAATGATGGTTGCAATCACGGTCAACGTAACAAAACGTAGGAAGTGCGTATCTGAACAAACTTCAAAACGCACTACAGTTACAAAAAAAAAGAGTTGAAACGGTGGAAAGAGGTTACCTTTTTAGAGTCCGGTTTTTCATTTAGGTGCAAACAAGGCCTAGTGGGTGATTTGAGTGTGGAAAGTTTGTAATGCTATTGAACAATCCCAGCACGCTGTCAATTCTATCACGAAGGCCTCCTTCGATGGCAAAAGCGTTGTGCTAGCTATTGCTCAGATAGTCCGTCATGGGGCAGTAGTTTGTACCATAGCATGCACAATGGTTTCGCCATTAAAGGGGGCCTCGTGTGTGAACATTGACCGTGTGCCTGGATTCGTCTAGAGACACAATGCTCAAGTATGTTATTATACTTCATGGACCTACCTCAGTTATGGTCAAGACATTGTGGCGACTTTTATTAATAATAGTGTCCACATTGTCACAACATAACTTAGATATGTGTCCAATGTGCACTTAGATTTGCATAGAGGTGTGGATTAAACATGGATGATGAAAAGAAAGTTTTGAAATTGTTTTGGTGATATAGCACATGGTGCATATATTCTCTGTTTCAGTTTGGTGCGTTGGAAATACAGTATACTGAGAATTTAGAATGAGCCAATCAGATCACAGCTCTCTCACTCAAACACACAAAATACACCTCAAGACAGCTGTGAGGGTGGATCTAATTGGCTGTTTGTTTCCATAGTCGTTTTCTGTAAATATATAATATGTATCAACTGTTAATACTAAGTGCATATATATGACTATATTATAAAAAATAACAAAAATATGTATTATACTACTAACAAAGTTGCATGTGTATTTCATACGTATCAGGGTGTTCTAAACAAACAAAGTACAGAGTTGTCAGACCCTTCCTTTAGTTTTGAACATTTTTTGAAGTGAAAATGAGAAATTATCATGATTTTGTTTTATTTCACGGGTTTGCCATTTCATGGGTTTGCACTCGCTGGAAATCATGCACAGTTTTAAGAATTGTATTAACCCATTAGTCACTACTGCCCCAATACGCCCTCATTATTACTCCCCAAACCACCCCTCCATGGTTGTATGGATACATCAGAAGAATAAACACAATGTAATACAATGTAGTACAGTTGCTAATGGGTTACAATACTAATATCAAGATTCATTTAAGTGTGTAACACAAGGATTTGAGTTTGAATGAGTAAAACAAAAGGGCTGATCGTGAAATCAAAGCAATATTAGGTTTTAAATACAGTTTCTAAGCTGTTGGTGTGAAAATACTTCACTCTAAAATAGTTTTTAAAGTTTCCAAGCTTTAAGCGGGTTCATTCTCCTCTCAAAAGTGGACGCAAACGCCAAATCGTAACATCACAGCAAGTTTTTGCACTGCAAATTCATAAAAGTTGAGCACATTTCAACTCCGGCGAATTTCGCAGTGGACGTTTCATGAAATCAAATTCGCTTCCCGTTTGCGTTTGTGTGAAGTATGAACAGTAAGTGTTATTCTATTTAATTATTCCTCGACTGCAGTGTACTGAAGGAACATGTTGAGAGTAGTAACTCATGTCAGAAACTTCCTGAGTAAGCAACAGTATTAAGTAGTTTAATTTCATTTACAAATTTAATGAGGAGACAAGGGAAGATAGTTGTTTGCTTGAACATAAATGTTTGCTTTTCCAAATATTTTAGAATGTTACTCCTTTTTACCTTGGCAACTGGTACTGTGTAGCTCTGTGTTTCTTATTTGATGTGTTTATTATTAGAATCTTATTAACTCATGGCACTGTGATAACTCGGCCAGTGGTCATGTACCAGATCATGAGTTTTTGTTTTAAAGTGTTGAAAGGACTGTTACATGAACCTGATAATTACACTTAGAAGTCTTCAGTTCTTGTTACTTTTTTTTTTCTTCAAAAGTGTACATTTTCCTTTCAGTGACATAATTTGCTGAGAAACTCTGATTTTTAGAAACCATGGAAATGAAATACACATGTTCCAATTATATTTCTGTACAAGTTCTCATGTTTGATTTTTCCCTAATCCATAACTCACTTCGGTAAAATGTATTTTTTTGAGAAGTTATTTTAAAATATTTTTTTGCACAATTTTCTTTTAGTCTCGGAAATAATCCACGACCTGAAATGTTCAAAAAAGAAATTTCTTGTTTACAGTTTTCAAAGTGACATAAAAAAGCACCTTAAATATAACATTTTTTGTCTGCACTTTAAAATGTATATTTATATTACAATACATCCATTGTAAAAAAAAAATAATAATAGTAGCTTACCTCTTTGAAAATGTATTTTTTCTTTTAGTATTATTATTAGTTTTATTTTTTTAATGCTAATTATCAATACTTATTTTGGACGGATACCATTTATAGTCTTAGTACATTTATTTACCTCTTAAAAAATTCCTTGCTTGGATCTTGACATAGACTCATGTTTACCATGAATATTTTGTTCACGGACTAGTATTAAAGAAATTTTTGCTCATGGGCGAGTTTATTGAAAGATACAGATAAATCCAGCTGCCATGTTACGTCCCTACTGTGACATCGGTCCTTACTATAGTTGGGACGATCCCAACTATAGTCGGGGCAGTCCCGAGTGTAGTTGAGACAACCTTGACAATAAGTTGGGACCGTCCCAACTGTAGTTGGGACGATGCTATAGTTGGGGTGCAAGACACAATTAGAAGCTTTTATTGTGATGGCATCACACTCATCCTTATTGTGCAAGTGTACACCAACATTTCTTTAACCAATAGCATACTCAGGGGATGTAAAGATGCACCAACAACATCAATTTTAGAATGTGTACGACCTGAACGCTAGCATGATACTACTTCATTAACAGTGTCTTGATGTGGTCGCTGGATCCATCTGTAGAATTGCACTGTGTCAGTGTGGTTCATATTCATATGATTGTCAAGAGTAGCCTGAGATTTTGTTAGATTTTTTTAAAATGAGATCAAACAGGGTGCTTGTTCAACACCTGCTGCAGACTGGCATTCCAGGGTCGCGCTGAACTAAATTATTCCAAAGATTGAAATAGAGTTCAACGTTTGAAACAATTACAAGCCTCTTGCGAAAGATCAACTGTTCCAATCATTGAGAATATCTCTGAGTTTAGTCAATGGAAAATTAGAACATAAAGTTAATCTGTCTGACACCAATTCTATATTGGTTGACTTGAGATGCTCTAAATACTTTCTTGTTCAGCGAGACTCTGGAGCGTCATTCGTAACGGTCGTAATTGCAGCCCACCATCCCTTAGAGTTACCTCCACCTGTTAATACATATTGTGGCATACATTGATTGCTGTACATTGTGCTTTGTGTATCATATTACTATATAATCACTGTCGATATATTAACTAATAATACACTACCACCATAACTGTTCTTGTACCATTCCTGAGTAACAATAAAAAAAACATATAATTGTATACGATAATTATTGTTGTTATGCCCGAGTGTGACATTTGATGGACTTATATATTGGAAAATAAACATACAGCCTGGGTGGAAAGGTTTGTTTCAACCAATTTAAATCTCAATTTTCCCAAGTTTTGTTCAACTTTTATTATTGTTTACTCGGTAAGTATTCTTATCGCAAATCCAATACTGTTGTTTGATAAAAATAGATTTTACAAATCTAATATTTTAACTGTATAAAGGGCTATCATTTACAACATGTGGAAATCAGTTCTAGCTATGCAATCATGGAATCGTCCAAAATTTCCATTTTAAAATGTATTCTTGGCAGCTACAATTTTATTTTATGAAGGCAACTAGAGATGTGCTCTATCAATTATTTACAATCACTTTCACGACTTAGTAATGCATTTATTGGACAGAGTAGTTGACTTCAAATTAATTATTTTTTCCGACCATACACAAAACGGAGAACCACCTACATGGGGTTGGATAGCTCAGTTGGTAAGAGCACGGGAACGGCAATCCGGAGTTCGCAGGTTCAAACCCTCGCTAGTCAAAATCTTTGTTCACTTTGAAATCACATATAAAGAGAACTTGCTGAAATGCCTTCCTCTGCCTAAATTTCATCCACCACTGCAAGGTGTGAGCTATCCTCTTTAAAATGGCCTCCCAGACTGATGTCTTTCTTGATCTGCTTTTTGCCGATGTAGGTCTTGAGAGTCTTCCGTGCCTTATGCTCCCAGGCTTGTTCAGTTGTCTTGCTTGCCGGTGACACCTTGCTGGAGCGGGCATTCAGTGAGCGAGATAAGCTCCAGGATTCACGCTTCTTGCTCCACGAGTCACGCACCTGTTCACAGAGGACAAGGGTGAGTTTTAAAGGAATCTGATTGTTCAATTATCTAGGAATATGCTCACCACATTTGTATCAAATTTTGTGGAGGTTTAACACCCTCAAGGGGAAGAAAGAGCACCCATGATTCCAAACACTCTAATCCACACATACTGAAATTTGTATCCTGTAGTAAAGTTTTCAAGTTCGAAAGTGTAGTTTCAAAATGCTCTTATTTTAACCAGAATTAATTTCCTTGGCTGAAATTCGGACTTGATATCCCTTTTCTAAAACTCTTCCATTTGCAACAGATCAACCCACCTTGGAATTCCTAGTTTTTGAGTAAAATCCATATATCTATTTCGTGAAAACCTTGTGGAGACGTATTCATCTATAGAAATTGCCCCGTGTAGACGTATACAATCTTTTGTTCCCTATTGTGTGCATGTCTCCAGAGGGCATGGTGTATCAGATCAGAAATGCAGATGTCACTGTTTTGTCTTATTTGCAGAGTATTGAAGAGGAAGTTGGTGTCGCCTTACCTCCGTGCTAAAGGCGCAGTAGGCAAGAAAGAGACAGAACCCTTGGAAGGAGTTGAAGATGGCAAACAGGTAGTGGAATATGATGGTACTCTCTGTGACACACAGGAAGCCAAACACCCACGTACACCCCAGCAGAGGCAGGAGCATGACAGATGCCTTGGTGGATTTCCTGAAATTCAATTTAACAACTTAAATAATTATGCTATACTTATAGAAAACTTTGAAAACTTTCGCACAAGGTCTTTGATTAATGAAATGTGTCTTAACTTGAACTCGGTTGTTTTCTTCTGATTGGCAGATGGCGTATTTCTTTATAATTTCCCAGTGTCTGAATAATTACAACTGATTGTTTTTGGCCTTTAACATTGAATGTTTTCCCTCATCTTAAAATGAGTTTCTTACTTTGCATTGTCAATCTTGCTTCCTCCTTGGGCCTTGGTCAAAGTCACAATCAGTTTGGTGACCCTCACCAGAATGTAGCAGTTGATCTGAAAGATAAAACCAAGACTTATCAACTTACTGCTGACTGAAGACACTGACAAACCTACTGAGATGAGTGAGAGGTTTGAATGATCACTCCTTCCCTAGATGAAGTACCCTTCCCTCCTCCATTCCTGGTGACAACCAACAGGTCTCCGTTGTCGTAAGAAATAAATCAAAGGCCAAATCATAAAACATGGAATGTAACATTGTTTTCTTACCAAGATGACAATGATGACTGGCACAGCGAAAAACCAGATGGAGTGATCAGCAACACTCAGCCAGCATCTAGAAGCCCAACAAACCAAACTACATTCAGAATATTGTACTGTTATCCAGCACCCTGGACACTGACAACTGGGGAGACTACTGCCTTCAAATGACTTGGCTACGGCTAACTCTAACACACATGTCTATGGGAAGTGACTTCAGCTACTTCCATAGACACGTGTAATTACAAGCTGTAGCCAGATAATTTGGTTCCACCTTACTTTCTTACACAAAACTGATGCTGCATCCTTTGTTTCTTTTGCAGCTTGTCTGTCTACTTACATTCCATGCGTGCCCAATGACTCCCGCAGTATTGCAGTAGTAATGACGGTTAGTATCAGCGGAAACCCTGAAAATATACAGAGCATTCTAACAAGGTTAGTATTTCTTGTATTTGTAAGGTTTCTCCACGATATGTTTTTTAAGTACATGGACTTTGAGCAAGATTGTTTTGTTCTGTCTCAATTTGATCATTTTTTGGTATTAATTTCTTTTACAAGAGCTAAATGGATAGAAATTGCAGTGAACATTTTATATTACTGTACCTTATACATATTCATGATCAAGAGCCAAATTCTTACCGACCCATTCACCATGACCTGCCAGCTGCTAGTTTTGCTACTTACCAAGCGCGCATGTGAGGATTAACACGGGGTAAATGCGTATTAGTTTGTTTATTTATTTCTGGTAATGACACCAAGGATTCATCAAAAGCACCCTAGGCGCTGTAGCTCACAAGCCTGAAGAAACCTTCCACAGCGGTGGAAGGCGAGGAAAGTACCGCTACGCCAACCTGACTCCCCAAATGCACAGTCTTATATCTTACAACCTAACTGCGCCTCGGGAAACTAGTTTTTCAACTTCCAATACCTAGAGGAACTAATATCAACATATCCACCCTCACACCATGTTTAAATTTATATACATACAGATAGTTCAGGTTCTGCAAGAGGGACAAATTTTGCCAATTCAGTTGAGATTAAACTTACTTATCAACAATCAATCAAAACTGTAACTAAAACTGCAATCACTTTTGTTTTGAATACATACCCCATCCAGTCAGGATATACATCTTGAGTCGCTCAGCGTTAACAAAGACCACAACCACTTGGAAGTAGATTTGTACGCCCTCGATCAGCATCCAGCAAAATATGGCAGTGTTGAAGAAATAGAGGAGCATGGCCACTACAGCACATGTGACCTGCAAAAACCCAGGTGACACTTGAGACTGAGAAGTTTATAAAGTATTTTATAGAGAGTTTTAAGCTATAATTGTTCTATAATTATAATAATAATAATAAGGTTATATAATTGTACAAGTTCTTGAATTCTACAATTTTTTTTTTATTTTAAAGAGTTTTAGAGAGTGTCTTGGATAAGTTCAGTTTAGAGTTTTGTGGAAGTTTCATAGAGACTTTTGTAGATTTTTTTTGTGGAGAGTTTAAGCCAAACTTCCTAAAGATGACATTCATGAGAAAACTGACCGTTCCCTTTTCTGCGGAGTCCTCAAACAGGAAAGTGACTTGAGCCAGCATGATTGCGATGGCCAGGTTGAAATGAATCAGGGTTCGCTCCGATGTCATTCTAGGAGAAGAGCAAAAAGGAGGGAGCAAAAGGAGATAAAGTCAGTTTCATGAAGAATTTCAGGGGGTCTGTAGAAACTACATGGTTCTGTAAAGTTCTGTAGGGTTCTACAATGTTCTGTAGAGTTCTATAGATTTCTACAGTCTTCTATAAAGTTCTTTGGAGTTCCATAGAGTTTTATTTGGAGCTGAGTTTATGTCCAGTTTATTTTTCATTGGAATATGTTGTTTGGATATTTATGAACAATGTAGCACAGTTGGTACTCTTGTTTCACTGGTCTGTCTTTTTTGGTTTCTGCCAAAGTTTTGACTGCAGATGATATGAACACAAACTGAGACTGGGAGGGGCAAACTGTCAACTAGTCCAATTGCAAGATTGCCGAATAACATACCTCAGAAACAAGTAAGTAGAACAAGTCAGGAAGGTACCAATGATGGAGCAGACGCAGCCAATGAGAGAGATCACATCCAATGCACGTCTATCAGCTTCAGATATCTGAACAAAAATTCAAATAATGTTTTCTTAAAAGTAGATTTAAATATGTGATACTTCAATAATTTTTTGTCACCGTTTGCTTCGTCCTTCATGATTTTGTGTAAAAAAAAAAACACACAGATTCAGAAAATAACCAAAATTGATATGTACCTCAATATCTACAACTTGCACCAAGACAGCGAAGCTAGTCATGTGATCACAGCTGCACTCGACGTGGGAATCATTGTCTGAGGTCATGTGACAACCGTTATTGGACCATGCACCACCGGTGTCATTCCTGATGGAGGGGGAAATGATAAAAGGGATGTCAAAGATGAATGAAGATACATAACTGGTCACTATAACGACACACTCATTGTACATTACAGTATAAGATTGTGTAAAAACTTACAACATAGAGAAGTTCAAGAAGGAGCACGTCTTCACTGTGTTCTTACTTAGGCGTGACGACCATGTCTGCATACAATACAAACAAATGCGCAGATTTAGTAACATTCTTCTCATTAACCCTATAACTCCCTAACATGATTTACTAGGAACCATACCCATCCTGGCAAATTCCATCACCATATGGGAAACTGCACACTCGTTTTTCTGACCATGATTCTGGAGGTGTGCCAACCCAATGTAAAAGACTGTCAGTTTAGGGGTACTGTACCCATCCTGACAGATTCCAACAAAAAATGCTGTTGGGGTTTGATGGGTTGAGTTCTGTTAAGGTTAAATTATTTGCACCTGTGCTACATTGTATTACATTGTGTTTATTTTCCAAAGAATCCATGAAACCATAGGGTACTTTTGCTGCTTTGGGCAGTACAGGGAGTACAGTAATAGGCAGGGCAGTTTTGAGGCAGTACAGGAAATAATGGGTTAAATCAACCAATTTTCTTCCAAGAGTGAGTCACTACAGGAGTAATTTTGTAAAGAGAAAATAGAAATTTGATGTATGGTTGATCAAAAAGAAAAAGAGAAGAAGGCATGCTTGTTGCAACCTTGATCAGTTTGTTGGTTTTAGGCAAAGGATAATATTGCAATGTTGAATAAATCTAATAGTTACCATTGGATCAAGATGGAAGCCAAATTGGATAGCGTTTTCCACGGAGGTTTGTAGGGGTGGCACTAGCGTGACAGAGATAACCTTACTGCCGACAACAGAGCTTGAACCACTGTGTGGAGAATACACAAACATCAATCAATCCACTACTAAAACAGATTTCTGTAAGTCTTACAATACATACAATCCAAACGACTGTTTTCTGTAAATTTTGCAATGCATGAAATGCAAATCAAGGCAACAATCTAATTAATTCCAAATAATTCCGTCTGTAGTGTTAAACAACGTGTCAAAAGGGACAATACTTCCTTTTTTTTTACAGAAATAAGTACAAGAAAGCCCACAAAGCCAAATTAATGCTTAAACACTCAGCTTGACCACCCATTTTCACCTAGACTGGCGTTGCAAAGTCACGCTTGACAAAATCGTATAAGGCAGGGGCAATCCAAACAGTTGTTGTTTTCAGACATGCAAACTTAACATGTTACTTTGCCATTAACTAGAGTCTGCAGTCATTTTGAATTACCACAAAAGTCTTTTTTTATTTTAGGAGTTAGTCAAGTGGTAAATATGTTTACTTTATCATTTTGTTTGGGTATGGAATGACTCCTGAATGCAGTACCTTTCATCTTTCTTTGTTGTACTCTTCCGATTCCCAGTTTCATTATCAGATCTTTTGTTGTCTTGAAGTAGAGGGCCCAGTGAGTGGTAGAGTAGTGTGACAACAGCATTGGCGTCGTGGGTGTCAAACACGGCTTGTGGAATAGCAAAGGCAGCCTTGTCGTGATCCGAAGCATTCTTGGGGAAGGTGTACTCAGTAGATGCATTGGTAGGCTGTAGGAAGTCTATGACAGTCACTGCATTGAAAATCAACCAGATTTAATCTTAATGAAGTCAGAAATAGTACATCTGTCTTTATTTAATGCCTTCATTTGTACATTAACATGTGATAATGAACATTATCCCAAGAAACAGCTATAAGTCCAAAAAGGAACCCTGTTTACCATCCTAACGTTGCTGACATTCAACAGAAAGAAGAAAAATATGACATTTTTCAGTTGGACAAGTCAGGGTTTATTGTGAAAAAGGAATGGAAATATAAACACAATTAGGCTGTAGGATTTTTTTTTTGAGGGGGGAGGGTAGTCTCAAAGACCCAACTATTGAACCTTAGCTGCTATACTGAAATACAGTATTTTACACACTTATATCGATATAGGTTGGTGATTCAATGATTTAATGAGATTTGAGAGTTTCAGCAGGAGGGGTTGTGGTTCATACCAAGGTGCTTGCTAGCCAGTACAATGGACTCTGATGTCAAATTGCCAGCCCTCTTGGCAAGGTTGACTGCCATCAATTCAGCTGATTGGGTGATCTGTGCTACTACAGCTGATCCTACCTGGACGATAGAATAAAAGAGTCAATGTAAAAGACGTGCAGATACTGGCATACTGAACACTACTCAACTATCTAGTCCGATAGTATGGCTATGTATTTTTAATGCAAGCTATCGTTAATATTATTACAAAGACAAAAACATAAACCTTTTAATTACTGAAACAAATTTGGTGATGTCAGTTTCATCGAACAGTTTAGAAAATTATTTCTTGTGACTGACACTGTGAATTGTGCTGTACTGACCACAGTCCAGAGTAAGAAATCATTTCTTAACTTTCATAAAAATTGAGGAACTTGCATGTTGAGTGAAAGTTTTACCAGCTAAACTAGTTTCTACAGAATGTTCAATGTTATCATCAGAATACTTACAGATGACCATCTCTTTGAATTTGCAGGGCTCACCAAACTGTCCACCACATTCAGAGAGGCCTGTTGAGATAAAAGGTAATCAGAATTTCCTTAATGCCGATTCAAATTTTGATCCATTACACAAAAACTGAAACTTGAAAGTTACCCCCCCCCAAAAAAAAATGAAATAAACATTACTAAATTAAGTTACTGTTTAGTCATTCGCAGATTAATTCATGAAAACTTTTCACTGACAAGGAAAAAATCTTGACTCGTACAAAATCTTACCGCAACCACATCTGTAGCCTCCTCAACAGTGTAATCATCAAACGACTTGACAAGGAGACTAGCTAGCTCAATGTAGACCTCAGCTGATGCAAGTAATACACTGCTGTCATCTGAATCTGCTGTGGTGTAGTCTGCCAACGCAGCCGTTGAGTTGAACAACAGAGCTGCTGTGTGACTGTCAGTGTTGCCATCCAATCCAATTGTTGTATTCACCTAAATTTAAAAGCCAAAGCATATTATCAGAATGAGGCAAGCAAAAAACTTCTTATTAACCAAATACAATACTCAAATCCTATGATCAGGGCACACAATTCTCAAAACTCTCTTTTTAATAAAGATTAAATTTTCAGCTTTTGAAATCTGGACATTTTTAGCTTGAAAATATCATCTGTTATTACACCGACATTGTTCTCCAATATACCTGTTGCAATTAGTGCAATGTTATAAATATCAGTTATTCAAGAATGCACTTTCTTTTCCACTCAATTTTGCAAAACTTGCAGTGGCACACTTTCTGTGTGTGTGTGTTGTGTCTACTTTTATATGTCTTGTGTTTTAATTCTACTAAGACTATTCATTTTAGGCACCAACTTTACAGGAATGTGACAACTTGAAATCTTGCATTCAGCATACATGTACTTGAGACGCAAACTTACCAAATTCCACAAATTTGAAATAGTCTGACTAGCAGAGTCTTTAGATGTAGCCATCCGAATTGGAGTTACTGAGGACTGTTTTGGCTCATCTGGAGGACCACTTGTATGCCCAATGGTTGTAGTGTGTGTAGTCAATATACCTGGTTCTAGTTTATCAGTGTATGTAGGAGTTACTGCTTCCATTGTGAAGTCAAACGATGTTGGGGAGTTTGTTTCCAAATCAGAAGTGGTGAGTGTTGCAAGTTCAGGAGAAACTGCCATCAGATCAGGGGATGTTGATTCTGTTGCTGACGAAGAGGTTGTGTCAGGAGATGAGGTTTTAAAATCAGGATTGTCCACAACGACTGTTGTTGATGAATGTGTTGGAGGAATCGCTGTCTTGAGTGTTGATGCCCGAGGAGTTGATAAGGCATGAGTTGATACTTGCTTTACTCCTGAGTCCGTTGTGTGGACTATGAAAGTTGTTCCACTGATTGTGCTAACTTGAGTTGTGGATTGGGTTTGAGCTGTTGTGGATTTGTCGTGAGAATCAGTGGAAGTTGCTGAGGTTGAAATGCTTGGTGTTGATGGCTGGGTTGTTGATGGTCCACTGGTTGTGCTCTTGCTGTTGACTGCTGTGGATATTTTTGGGCTTGTGTGTGTATCTGCTAGTTCATTAGTACTTACTTCATTGGTTGTGGATGATGTAGTTGTTACAGTGATAGTAGTGGATAGTGCTTGGGTTGTTGTTTCAACTTCAGTTGATCCACTAATTGTTGATTTGTCATCAGCTTTAGCTGTTGCAGGATTGGTGGTTCTGATTATTGTGTGGCTTTCAGCAGTTGTTCCTTTGGTAACAGTTGTTGAGACATCTGAGTTGGTTTGGGTTGTAAGAATGTCTTTTGTGGTTGTAAGAATGTCTGGTGTGGTCGTAGGAATATCTGGTGTGGTTGTAAGAATGTCTGATGTTGTAAGAATGTCTGATGTGGTTGTAAGAATGTCTGGTGATGTAAGAATTTCTGGTGTTGTAAGAATGTCTGATGTGGTTGTGGGAATGTCTGGTGTGGTTGTAGGAATGTCTGATGTGGTTGTGAGAATGTCTGATGTGGTTGTAGGAATGTCTGATGTGGTTGTAGGAATGTCTGATGTGGTTGTAGGAATGTCTGATGTGGTTGTAGGAATGTCTGATGTGGTTGTAGGAATGTCTGATGTGGTTGTAGGAATGTCTGATGTGGTTGTGGGAATGTCTGATGTTTTTGTATTAATGTCTGGTGATGTAAGAATTTCTGGTGTTGTTAGAATGTCTGATGTGGTTGTAGGAATGTCTGGTGATGTAAGAATTTCTGGTGTTGTTAGAATGTCTGATGTGGTTGTAGGAATGTCTGATGTGGTTGTAGGAATGTCTGATGTGGTTGTAGGAATGTCTGGTGTGGTTGTAAGATTGTCTGATGTGGTTGTGAGAATGTCTGATATCGTTGCGATGGTTGTTGATTGGCCAGTGTCTGTCCACATATCTGGATAGTCTGAGATGTTAACTGTCACGTCAGAGTTGGCAAAGTCATCATCAGCGTAGATACTGCCTCGTTCGGTGACGTTCAAAACTCTATCCCAGAATGCGATTTCATCGTACACCGCATCACCACTGTATTGAAACAAAAGTAATGATTAGAATTCAATTAATGACTGTTGATAGTAGCACTATTGTCTGTTTTTGCAAAATAAACAAAAAAAATCAGTTTTGCTCTCACATTCATTGGAAATGTCACAGACTGAATTTGTTTACCCGGAACCAACATGGAAACCAGTGGAGGAATCCTGAAGTGTGGCAGTAGTAGCGGCTTCCTGTGGTATGGCGAAGACCTCACTTTGGAGATTTAAAGCAAACTGTTCGATATTGTTCAAATAAACTGCAATTTCTGTAAAGAAAAAGAAAAAAAAAGAACTAACTTTTCATCAAGTGCTGGAAAAAAAAATTGAATACCCATGCCCAATAAGCGTATCCCTAATCAACATATTGATAATTTGATGATTTCAAATTTAAAAATAACTTTACCCCTAACCACCTCCCCCCTCTAAACCCCTTTTGGCTGATAACTAGCTTTTACTACGGCAAACCATATGGGGATGTTTGAATCTGAGCAGTTCCACCCTCACCTCTTGACTGAAAGCTCATGATGACGTGCACCCATTGAATGACGGGAATATTAGCCAGAAGCTGAAGGTGTTTTGCGTACGTGGTCAGACCAAGTTTCACTTCAAAAACAACTTTGCCAGAAGTGTGGTACACGGCCAGGCCATAATCACCGTCTTTGGCACCTGTAGGAAGAGACAAATTGAACAACAGTCACTAATTGGGAAACAAGTCGAGTGAACAAAGCAAACAAAATTTGATTCAGTTCAGTCAGATTGGCTAGTCAGTGGTCTTCACGTCGGGCCAGTTTAGCCCATTCATTTGAGGTAGGGGATGATCCTAAAGGCCTACGATAGCTCTGCCCAGGCCGCCGAGGACAAGCCCGCTCGTAGAAAGAACAGCCGGCGGGCAGCCCCTCAGGACACCCCCTTCAGGTGCATCATGTGCGGCAAAGACTGTCACTCCCGTATTGGTCTTTATAGCCACAGCAGGCAATGCTCCAGCACAAGCTGATGATACAGCCTCTACCTTCCAGGCGCAGATCCATGATCTCACGAGGTCGAGAGATGCTGACGACAAGCTCTGCCCAACTCACAAGTGGCAGTCAGTCGATCAGTCAGTCGATCAGTCAGTCAGTCATTGAATCATTCAGTCAGTCAGACACCTCTGTTGCATAACCATTTAACATCTGCCATCCTAACAGTAGGTCGGCAATCTACCTGTGTCCATGTAGTACTCAGTGCTCAGGGTGGAGGGGGTTTCCAGAAGCTTGAACCAGAAGGCTAGCGTGAAACCATTGGTACACCTTGAAGAATTGCTGACACAAGTACCTGAAAAGTTGATACATGTATAAGAAAACAGTTACCTAGATTTTAACATTCGTTTCGGTCTTGGGTCGATCCAGAAATTTCCTTTTAGACTGTCAACGTTTTATGTTTACTTTCCATTGACTGGACCCTGAAACCATTAGTACACCTGGAAGAATTGCTGACACAAGTACCTGAAAAGGTGATACATGTATCAGAAAATAGTTACCTAGATTTTAACATTCGTTTTGGACGTAGGTCGATCCAGAAATTTCCTTTTAGACTGTCAACGTTTTGTGTTTACTTTCCATTGACTGGACCCTGTAGTTGTTCCAAACTACTGCAACAGTTAGTCTTTCGACAATTTGCATGTAGGCCTATAGTTGCTCCAAATTGTTTCGTATGGCAATTTTTTTTTTTTAAAGTAAGCACCTTAGAATGCTAGTCTGAAAAGGGCTCAGTAAGTTCTATTTCTTGCGTGAGTAAAAGTTAAAATTTTCTTGTCTTTTTTAATTGGCTTTGATTAAGGTTTTTAAAAACCTAAAGTTTAGCTTCAAATCGGACTTGATATTAATAAATCACAGTAATCCTAGCACATTATTCCTGTTCTAGGCCTTTCTGTGAGGTTTTGAGAGGATAACGATTGAGGTGATGCGTGTCTTTACTTGGGTAGTTTCCGAGGTTTAACGGTGAGTCCTTTCCAGCAAAAACCCGGATGGAGTTGCCTTTCTGCTCGTTGTAACAGTGGACTGCACCAGTGGAATACTTTGCAAAGACTACAAAGGGTTCAACAACATCGGCAGTCTGCAAAAAAAAGACAAAAAGAATGATAAGTGTTCTCAACAACAAGACCATATCATCATGAAGCTGCAAAAGTCAGACAATATCTAGTAGCATTTTATTTCGGGGTCGGAGCACTTGGCATGGAAATTCTTTTTCTCAAGATAGGCCACTGTTGTGAAGAATAATTGCAAAATGCTTTAAGGTGTGACACATTCGTTGTGACAGAGAGACATCACATTCTCTGTTTCTAATGAGGTGGCGAGAAAAAGGAAAATGCCCCCCCCCCCCCAAAAAAAAACACCCCCAAACATCCAGACATTCAAAAGTTTGTTTCATCAGGTATTATTAATATTTTTGTTTTTTGTTTTTATTATTATTATCATGATTATTTTTTTTGGCCCAAAATGATGTTTAAGCCATCAAGATTGAAGGCAATACATTTACATGATCAATAATTACACGTACATAATTACACTAACTTAAAATTACATCATTAAACTTACATAATTCTCTGTAATTGCAGAGTAGATATAGTCCAAGGTGAAATACAGTAAGGCATCAGCATACGTCTGGCCAACTACATGTATACAAAAATTATCATGATCATGAGAAAGCTAAATCAAATTTCTCTTTTTTGGAAACAAAAAATCAAGTGGACTTAAGTTTGAATGAGCCTTGTGACTTGTGTCTCTCAGTGACTTAAATTGGAAATCACTTTGTTCCTCAAACACCATGATAATTTGTTGTGATTGCAATAATTTCTTCCAAATGTACAATTTTCAGAAAATGTAAAATTGATATGCAGGTGTTTTTTTTCACCAAACAGTTCATACTTTCTTTGATAAATGCAGGTGGTGAAAAGGCAATATTCAATCAGTCATCTTTTGTGTGTCATTTCTTTGTTGCCTTGTAACTTGCAATAAAATCATGATGTCTACTTACCCTGTCTCATCCGACATCCGATATATTCCATAGTGGCATTTGTGTTAACTCCAAGGACCGATGTAAACTGGTCGTCATTATAATACAGTTGCAGAAATGTGTCTGTTGTGTTACTACTTGCATTCTGGATGTTACTGAACCCAGGTCTATACAAAATTAAAAAAAAATTAAAATAACACGTATTTTCTTAAACAAAAGTTCACAGGTTTGACAATACATTTCTTAAAAAAATACATTAGTTAATTTTTCAACTCTCAGCTTTAATTTTATTTTTCAAATATTCCTTATATTGCCCTTTTAATTTAAATCTGATTTCTGAAATAATAGTAATAAGCATGAAAGAAGTTGGTCTATATACTTTAGGAAAAGCAAACCAACTTTGTGGTACTTACATCAATTCTTGCAAGACACTGTCCGATAGAGTCGTCTCGGAGCCCAACCAAGACCAGGATTCCACGGTTCGCTGCAACCCTGTCCAGATACCATCTCCGTTACTGAAAGAATTCCTGAAAAGTATATTACAAAGAGAACAGTAGTTAAGTCCATTCACAAGTCCATTCACAAGTATAACAGGGAATGAACAATAACAATATTAACATGTGCCTTTATCACATTTTATTTAAGTTGCTTAATGATTTGACTTGTGATGGACTTTTATTGGACATGTGATTAATTTGTGATGATGAGTCCGAGGCCGTGTGATTGACTCCAATACAAAAAAAAGGCAAGCTGAATCAGAGAGCATGTTAGACATTTGCTGAAGTCGGACAAATTACCCCTTCCAACCACCCACCCAACCCCCAATGAAAGACAACTTCTTTCAGGTCTTATACGAGCATATGCTTTTTTACCTGGATCCCTCGTATCATTTATGTCATTCTTTTATACAGATTCTTGTTAATTATGTATTTGTGATATGATGTGGAAAAAATAACCATAAGCCATAAACCATAAACCATAAAGAAAACTTCTACTCACGCCTCAAATAGAAAGAACAGAAGTTCCTCTCTGTCCGTCCAGTACAGGAGTGTACCCCCATATACACTACAGGTGCGACCTGCATATTCCTCTGTTATTGAACCGACAGGATTTCTCTGACTGAGTGCGAAATAGCAATGGCCATTGTAGGATTTCCCTTGTAGGCCTGTTGAACTCCAGCTTGGACATCCAGTGCCTCGGGAAAAAAGGGCAAAGAACAGTTGTCTGAAAGGCTAAAGTAACTTACTTCATTTTCGTCTAATTGGGGAAGGCCTGTGTCATCAACAACAAAAAACACCTAAAGTAAAGTTTTAGAGAAAAAAGGCAACTGAAATTACTACAGTAAGTGAACATTTTTCATCAGGCGTGTCTTCTGGGGCTTATTATAATTATAAGGGGACTGCTAGGATATCATTTTATTTGTTTTAAATAAAGCTCTTTTCAAATAAAGCTGCACCTTAAATAACAACAGAAGTTGAAATCTTTTGAGAGTGATGAGAAAAAAAAATACAATAAAGCGGACCTTATTGTGTTATGCTCTCCACTAAATATTAAAAAGATTGTTAGAAACAATCTTTTCAGCAGAAATGTCTCAACCATAAGTCAAATTCTGACAAGTTCTTACTTTTATTGAAGAAAGTGCCTTCTGCTGTTGGCAGGTTGCCAAGTATTCCCCATCCAAATGGGGTGACCTGAAAATATAAAGAAAAAACATTTCTCGAATACTATTTAATGTTCAAGTTAATTGGCTAAATCTAATTTTCATTCGTTCCTACTTGAGGCAAATTGGTGCATTATGCTTACATAACTTAAAGATAAGTGATTGTAGCAACAAATCCAGATTATTAGCCCACAAAAGGATCCTATTTCCCCAACATTTCAAGCGAATCACGCCACCACAGTTTCTGTAGGATCGGAAACAGCCGTCGAATCCGCATGGATTCCTGCATAAAATTAGCATCTCATTTTACATTCCACCAATCGGAGTCCTGGTAGTGTTTACAACAGGTGCACGGCGCGCGGCGTGCGCGTGCTGTGAATGCCGCATGCACATTTCGAGGTGCGTCACATGAAGTTTGTTAAAAGTTGCAATGGCGGTGAAAAACAAGAAGGACTTCAACAGACCTATCTGCAGAAAACTTTCGTAAGTAAAACTGATTTAAGCAATGTATTTCTGACCAAAAACTAAGTGCATGAACCTGGAATATGAACATGTATGCTTTTGTCCGTCTTCAGCGAGTCTAATAGTATTAAGTTACGTACAACTGGGACAGTTGATTGAAACCTGAATTGAGAGTAGCTTTTTGACAATAGGCCGTGTGAGGAAACGAAAACAAAACGAGCATGTCTAATTCGGTTACGTTCAAGTAGCCTAAGTACAGTGACTTCGTTATCAGCTTTTTGGTTCCGAATATGAATAGCTTTATCAGATAGGCTAAAGCATGCGTTTGGTTTTTAGTTCAGAACAAAGCATGCGTTTGGTTGTTAGTTCAGAACAAAGCATGCGTTTGTTTTTTTTGTTCAGAATGTTAAAACGTGTTCGCAAAACCTATCGTCGTGTGTACCATGTGGTATGTCCTTTGTGGCAAGAGCATTGATTCAAATCCAGACATTTGATTTTTCGTCTGTCGGCTCTTGTTATGGTCGACACTCGACACGGCAGCTGAAGTCTTTTCCTCTGGGCTTAATATTTATTATTGTGCCGCAATATCGAAAAACCATTAAGGTCACAGTGCATTCCTTTGGCATTTAGTAATACTGTTATTGACGGAATCATTTTGTAACTATCCGCAAAAACGTTAGCTCAAAATTGACACACATTTTGTGTTTTTGAAAGGGGAAAATGTGAACGAGTTTTTCGTAAAATTTCATTCCATGTGCAAAGCATACACTCCTCCGAAACTTCCAAACGTAATTTTTTAAGGATATCAGTGTTGTCGCTAGTGGAACCACATATTCACAAAAACAAATCCACCAGTCAATTTTTGTGTTCAACTTTGAGAACAAAAATAGAACAGGAATGGCCCTTCTCCAGCGTGAATAATAATTGACAAACATTTAAATCATGTACTCACCAATAAAGCTAGTAATCCTAAGAAAAATGTCATTTTCGCATAAATTCCTTTAAGACGTATGGAAAAGTCGACTGCCGTCCATGACTGCAACAAAAGACTAATCATTGTCCCGTCCCGATACAATTTTCTGTCCCGTTCTATGCTCGCTAAATTCGTTTTTAATTGAAAAAGCCTCACACGGGTTTGTTAATTGGCAGGGAAAATAAACATGGAAGGCCCCAGCAGTGTAATTAAACAGAAAGTAAATTGACACAGAAAGGCGAGACGAATTCGTATCGATTGGTCTAGAAGTTATATTGTGGCAACAATAAACTGAAGATAGTACAGGGCTGGCTAAACATTCTACTAATTAACGCTGAATCAGCTTTGTTTGCACTTGCTTAGATTAATATTTGTTTCGAACTGAGGGCATTCTATGTAACTTGGAAATTTATCAGCAGACTTTATTTTTAATTGTAGGCTGAGGGGATGGTTCAATGAAAGTTTGTTCTTCGTGTTGTAGGCTATCCAAGTGGTTTTGAGTAAATTTGAAGGTCCTTTTTTCGCAATTTGTCTCATAGTGGTCATGGAGGTTTACGAAGGGTTTGCACAGCCGTTTTACTTATAAATATGCGAGACCAGACCTCAGAGATGTCTTGCGCATCTCTCTGAAGGACTGATGACATCATACGCACAAGGTTTATTGTCTTTCAGAATGAGTAGAAGATTAGAATTATTTCGGCGTGTGTATAGTTCAATGCTATCACACTATGCTCTCTTTGGTGTTGGTCAACATGTTTTATGGGGCCTACATTATGTTGTCAACACTAATTTGCTTTTCTCGGAAAAGCTGTCATATTTTTCTAACTCGACTCACAGACTAAGTGCCAGTGCGCCCTCTTTAGTTCGCTATAGTAGACTAGTTTAAGTCGGTGAATTTGATTGTTTTAAATATAACTTCATGATTGTACGGATAACAAAATATTTCAGACTCAAAATTCATCTAATTATTTCTTGATTGATACGAATAAATTACAAACTGTGAATCAGTGTAGTAGTGCATGAAATATACAAGGAAGAGGCGACTTTGAAACTGTTGTGTGGAAAATAATGTCGGGTAGGACTTGATGAAGTTTAGTACGCACGTTGCACACACAACTGTAGACAACATAATGTGCGCACGTCAAACCTGTATTTAGTCATCAGCTGATGAGGCCGTTTTTCTCTGGTACTTGCAAGTAACGTTTCCTCTCAATTCTATGGACTTATACTCGAGCTGAGCAGCCGTAATCGCGTAACTTAAGACATACAAACAGGTAAGAAACGAATTAATTCTGGGCGTTGTCGAACTTGTGGAATGTTGATTTTTGTTTCGTCGAGATCGAGTGGAAAACCAGTGTTTATTTATGCGTCGGACATTCAACACACCCGCCTTGGCTGTGACTTGAAAGCTGACTTCTTCAAGATGTTTTTTTTGGGGGGAGGGGGGGAGGGGGATCAAAATATTGGCGATAGTGAGGCCCCCCTGTTGATTTAGTTCTCATTTTGAAATGTTATCATTCCCAAATAATTTCTGCAATTTTATGATTATCAGTATTTTTAGTTTTAATTCTAATCTAAATGACCTTTATTTGTAATTATATTTTCTAGTCTTTTTTTGGCAGAAAATGTGATTTTCATATGTATTTTCCAGTTGATGTCATTCAAATGAATGCTTTTTTATTGTATTGCGGTGATCACCGTCTTTATGTATGTGCTACTGTTTTCATCCCCATCTTTGTTTTACCCCCCGAAAAACAAACCTACCCCGGCCTAGCCCCATAAATGTGGCCAATTTAGTGGACTACCTCCGTAAATAAAAAAAGGCCACACTTCCACCATGTACAAAAACATGTAGAACTTTGTCAAATTAGATTTTCACATTTAGACTTAGTTTACAGTTTATTTTTGCTTTAGAAGCATACTCGCCCTCTTTATAGGCTAGTCAGAAAGTGCTGCCTTTTTCAAATGTCTAATTTTCGTGAAATTTTATGTTGAAATTTTGATACGCAAACATGTGCAAACGAATCTGGAAATTTCACGAAAAATAGACATCTGAAAAAGACAGCACTTGCTGATTAGCATAAAGAGGGTGAGTATGCTTCTAAAGCAAAAATAAACTACAAACTAAGCCTAAATGTGAAAATCAAAATTTGACTAAGTTCTACATGTTTTTGTACATGGTGGAAGTGTGGCCTTTATTTACGGAGGTAGTTAAGTAAATTGGCCACATTTATGGGGCTAACCCCGGCCCTATCCACGACTTATTAATTACCCATTGGTTTTAAACATCAGCAGGCCGGAAAGAATGCCTTATCCTGATGCCACTTCTTTGGTTGTGTACAATGAAGAGTTGAGTGCATTTTTAAAGTACATTCTAACAAAATTGGAAATGTTTCTCTGTCTGTCTTTTCAACAATTTTGCAACGACTGACCTTCATTGAGATGATATATGATGAAAAGAGCGGCGTCAGGATGTAACGTTCTTTCCCAGCTCACCTAATAACTAGTTTTGTGAATCCAATATAACCTGGATTTTCGTTCCAATATAGTTAAGGAACTACACACGCGTCCCATATGTTCTGTGTTGATGACCTTGTAAGGAGACAGATATGGCGCGTGTTTGGACATTTAATTAAGCTGATTACCCTTGAGTTGGCCTAACAAGATTAAGTCACACCTTACCTGGAGCCAAGACATGTGGAGGTGATCTTTTCTGCTTGGCAAAAGGAGTTTTCCATTGCATGTCTTGTACTTTGTGTGATGCAGTGTGCTTGCCAATCAGTGTTGTAGGGACGTTGTTTTTGGAACTTTGGATACAAAGCGTTTGATAGTTTATACCGGTATGAATACATACCTTAAAAGAGTTGATCTGTTTGACTTGAGAAACAGATCACAGACTGCATAAAAATGCTTTTTCAAAAACTCTGAATGGAATCGCAGAGGTCCTTTGGATAGAAATCTAAAGTTTGTTGTAATAAAAAAATGGTTGTGGATTACTGGATTTATGGTTCTTTTTGTGATTTGTAAAGGGTAAAATAGTTTTAAATTGTGAAGATTTAAGTTGATTTTGTTCTGTCACCAATAAAATAATGTTTGTTTTCAGCTAGTAGCTTATTAATTTAAGCAGATTCCTGCACCTTTGAGCCCCAGTAATTATCCATTTATTTCTTCCATTTTTTTTCTTCTTCTAAGAAATGAGTACTGCTACCCTTTATGATGTATGTGCTTTCATGCACTTTGGCTAATAATTAATGAGTCCAGCCAAGCGCAAGTGGCCATTAGTCTAGACATGAGGAAATAATGGAGGCGATCCTGTCATCACCCAAATAATGTCATCAATGTGTTTACAATATTCATTTCAGAGAGCCATTAACTGTGTTTATTGATTCAAATTTTAATTCAAGGTTCTGTTCCAAGTAATTATCTTCAGTGTCTCTCAATACGTGCACATGCTAACAATAAATTGATTTGTTTGGGGCCAAGGTAAAATAATAGATGAATGGTTTTCCCAAACCAAAAGGCTGTCTCATACTTCATGTAAATGCGAACGTGAAGAGAATTTGAAGTCAGGAAAATTTCGCGGTGAAATTCGCTGGA